TTCGTTAAGTCGTTAACTCTAAGCCGTTAAAATCGTTAGCTCTACGTTTCAAAATCGTTATCTTCCAACCAAAATGGCGCCGCTTAGCTCTTGCCTTTTCCCCAACGTCTGCACGAGATTAGTATGCTTAGGTGTTGTATTGCACGCCTTACCCTTCAGCTGATTTCCATATTCCTTCATTTTTGGTGTAAGTGATTAAAATTTGCTCTTAAAAAGAAATTTCGCGCTCCTAGCTAAATTTGTTGCATTTTTGTCAACTCGCGCTGCTAGCTAAATTTTTTGTTATTATGGTTTAATCAGTGTCAATATTCTTCGGTGTCACTACGTTTTATGTTTTCTCGATTTTGGGGAAACGCAAAAAATAAGCAATCCCATTTGTAAATCTTAGCAGAATCTTAAAAATATTTGCACTCTGTTGAAGAGCATAAAATGTAAATGGATAATACCAAGTGTTGTGACAATGCCAAATCCGTATAAAGTTGAAGTGACAAAATTCCACTCCGTCCGTTCATCGACTTCGGATTTCCAGCAACCTTCAATGTGCTTCACTATTTCATCCGAATAATTCCTCATCCTTCGTAAAACCTGCAGCATTGACGAATGACGGATGGATACATAATTCGGTCCAGGCTTCCCTCTCTCCTCCACCTGCCTCGTTATCCTTTTCCCTGAGCTAAACTTTGACTGAATCCTAAATTTAGCAGATGAAGAAGCTGTTGTATCCCCAAAACTGTTTGCCACTTTTGTTCTTACTTGTGTAAATGAAAAATTATGAGAGGCAAAAATTCGATGTTCTAGTCAGTGAAATACCTGGCGTGTTTTCCATCAAAATTTTTTAAAAAGTTGAAGATTAAAGGCGTGGTACTGTCTACAAATTTTGAGGTCTGATAGATGACAGCGAAAAAGAAATAAAAGCAAGATTGTTTCACAAATAACTTTCTGTGGGAGACTAAGGCATTCGAAACAAGCCTGAGCGGCAGCATGAAATTCCAACCGTCAGCTGGTAAGGCTGTCGGTAGTATTACTCGAGAAGTCGTTTGTAAAAAAATCCAAGTATGCAAATGAACTGAATATTCATTCACATATTTGGATGAGGCTGTCGTTCGCTGCAAAATGCGCTCGTTTCTGATTTTTCGGTAAAGTTGAGTATTTCTCATGTCCACCTGCAGGGAATTTCGCCTCCAAGCAGAATTAAGACCGTGCATGAAAGCAGAATATTTCAGCGAATTTTCAGCCTCGCAGCTTATCCAGTAAGCGACATACCCACTTCGCCACAAATATCTTTGAAGTGCTCTAACTCGTGGCGCAAGTGCAAGTCGATACTCATTTTAAATATACGATTTCCCATATGAGCGAAAAACATGATAACAAAATTTCATTCATTGTTTTTCGGCAAATTTTTGAGTTAGAACAGTACCAAGTTGCAAACTTCCTAGGCGCTTCACAAGCGTGCGCGACAGCTGAATTTAAAATCTTTAGCTCACACTTTGCACAGAGAATATTCCTGCAAAGTTTGAGCTTCGTATCTTTCCTGGTTCACGAAGTCGCTTCCCGCCAAAGGAATTTGCATATTTTTTTGGGAACTCCGTACGCGGAGTATAGGCGCATGTGGGGGAAGATCTTCAAACGGGAGGGTGACACACGGGATAGGAACATATACCCGAAATTTCAGCATCCCAGCTTTCTTCGTTGCTGAGATGAAATTGGGTGACAAAATGCA